ACGCAGGGGGGGGGGGGGTCTCCCCTTAAAGCAAAAATTTTGCCCGTTCCCCCCCCCCCCCCTCCAAAAAAAAGTGCCCTGCCGGGATAAACCTGAAATATCAATACATACATTTACTTGAAGTCAGTGTTCAGAGAATTACTTGTGTACTGAACTTCAGCTTTCCATATCTTACCCTTTTGCTGCAGTGGAACCAAATTATATATATTCTTTCCCGCCAAAAAAGAATGTTTCTGAGGGGATCATCCTCAAAAGTAAGATTTTTCATGAGCTGAAGGTCTTCAAAAAACAGCAAATTGCGTACCAAAATTTAGGTTTCCATGGCATGGTTGGAAAATGTTTAGAATTAGTGTCAGTCACTCAAGTCATGATCGCCTACATTAGACGACTCAAATCCTAGAAAAGGAATGCATACAGATAGAAAGAAAAGAGTGTTTTTCATTACGAATGTCGACAAGGAAAGTGAAGCAGTAAATTGTTTTTAAAAAGTGAAATGAAAGCTTAAAACTATGACAGAAAGCACGTGAAAGGCGCATTCATTGCAGCACAGAGAGAATCCGCTCGAATGAATTCCAAAGGGCTGTGAGAACAATCCACGGGACCCCCTAGCGGATGAGCACATCCTCAAGGAATGATCCCCTTCTTGGGACCGTGATGCTGGCCGTGGTGGAGCCGGGCGAAATTGCGGAGGCTGCCCAGCCCGGGAGGACCGTGAGGGCGGTAGCCGAAGAGGGACTTCGCGCTCTGCGCTTCGCTGTAGGCGAACAGACCCATCAGCGCCACCAGGATGCAGCACAGAAACTAGAAACATTTTTAAGCATCGATATAGCAAATGGTATATCGCAGAGCCAGGTATTTGAGGTAAATCGCCAAACGAAGTGCAACATGCTGTATGCTGTGCTTCCCTCGCTAATGGCTAGAACTGAGCATACAGAGAGAGCACACCCTTCCCTTCCCCATCTCCTCTCCTTTCTCTTCCTCCCCCTCCCCCTCCCCCCTCTCCCTCCCCCTCCTCCCTCTCCTTCCCTCTCCCCCCTCCATTTAATAAGTATAAAGTCTATGATGAACCTGCAACTGCTTTCCCCGTTACTCTGAAGGACAAGTTTTATTGCCCCCCAAAGTCGAAGGACAAATGCAGATGAGACGCTTCCACTCCGCTATTGTGCAAGAAGTCAGTGCGACGAACAGGTCTGTCCCTCTCTCTATCTACCCGACATATCTTTCTCTTCTACGGCAGAAACTCCCCGAGGCGAATCTCTTTGGACTCGTCATGCTCCTCAATCCAAGCTTCGAAGAATCAAACAATCACGCGAGATTGAATTACGCGGTGAAGCAGACGTTAGCCGTCCCTAAACATAATTTACAAACTATAATCGCGTCTCACGTTCGACTGCGTCAAATTTCACAACAGTGCATTACACTCTTGTCCAAATTCGTCAATATGTCAATGAAAATGTCGAAGTCATCGTCCTTTCTGATCGGTGCATTAAAAAAAAAAATAAAACCGCTGTCACGTTGGTATGACGCAAACTGGGCATGGTATCCGCGAGGCTACCATCGCGCGATTCAGAGTCTGTATCTATTGGTTTAATGGAGTAAATTATGCTGAAAATATAGTTCAAAGAATCTATCGATGAAACGCGCCCACGTTGAACCTGATCAAACTTCTCCGAAAAATCGCACGCCCACTTCTGCACCCAGAACGATTCGCGAATGAATTTCAGGACTCCCCGCGGAAAAACAGTTCGAGATAGAAACGGAGCTCGATTCCGATCGGAGCGGGGAGAAATAAATAACCGGAAGATATTTCGGGTGGGGGGAAATGCACTCACATTCAGGAGCTTCATGTCGCGAAGGGAAGGAACCGACGGAGGAGAAAGAAGACACGGACTGAGGGATTTCCTCCTTTCAAGGCGGATCCCGGAGGGGGAGTCTCTTCCTCTCAAGGCCGGTGAACATCCTTTCTTCCCGCAAGGCCAGCGAGGAGGAAGACCTGAAAGGCCCAGCCGGACTGGTTTCGATTTTCCTTGCGACTGCAGAGGACCACGTTTCCCCTCGATTGAAGTCATGGTTGCTCTGCGAGAATTTCTTTTGTTCGATTTTTTTTATCAAGAATGATTTGTGCCGAATATATTTGGAACTTCCGCGATCAATTAGAGAAGGAAATTCAACATTTCCTGGTTCTAACTCAGTAAAATGAAGGGAGGAAAAAATCCCTCGGTGAGAACCAAGAATGGCACCACTATTGCTATCCTCTCAGGTTTTGAATGACGCGATGAATGGATGACGCGATGAATGGATGACGCGATGAATGGATGACGCGATGAATGGATGACGCGATGAATGGATGACGCGATGAATGGATGACGCGATGAATGGATGACGCGATGAATGGATGACGCGATGAATGGATGGCGCGATGAATGGATGGCGCGATGGGTGGATGACGCGATGAATGGATGACGCGATGGGTGGATGACGCGATGAATGGATGGCGCGATGGGTGGATGACGCGATGAATGGATGGCGCGATGGGTGGATGACGCGATGAATGGATGGCGCGGTAAATGGATCGCCCCGCTGTGGCGTTCCATCATGCGATCCAGCGTCGGAGGGAAAGGAAGGGGTTAGGGACGAGAAATCACGGAACATCCTCGTCGTCATCGAGTCCGAGTCATTCAATGCGTGGTGCGAATTTAAAGGCCGAAATTTAATTCGAGACGATTCCATTACATTATGATCGTCGTCGTTGCCCCGCAAGCCTCGCATTCGGACGACGAAGGCCTATTCCTCACCGAAGGTCATCGGCGCAGCTGCGGAAAACTGCGACGACAGTGCGTCTAAAACGACAATGAAGCGATTTTCCTTCTCCTTTGTCGCTCGCCTTGGCCGACTCGGAAGCGGTTCAAATTCCCGGCCGGTCAGGCATGTCCCCACGTTACGATTCCGTCTCTTAAACCGATATGGCTCGAGCAGGGAAGATGAGAAGAGGCGAACGATCTTGCATGATGCAAAGTGCATGTTGCACCTTGCACCATTCCACCACCAATACTCACTTGCCATCTCTGCAAGAAAAAAAAAGCGTCTCATCCAAAAGAAGATGGTAAAAGCAACAAGGAATGTATATTCCACATTTAATTTATTTATAGAAGACATTCACGTTCTGCGTTCATGAAGCAGTGTTCCAAGCATTTTGCTTCAGGCCGTTTGCGGACGAACACCTAGTGCTTAGGCACACGCTTCAAGAAATGTCTTTAAACGCTGATTGCTGAACTCGATGTATCGTCTCCACTTTTCTCCTGCGGGATGATCGGGATGACCTTTGAATATGTGGTACCCGAATCCGGCGAAAATAAATCCGTCACGGCCGAGATCCAAAGCCGGTTGGCGAGATCTGCACTTTTGGCGGACCTAGGCCCACTGAAAAGGGTACAGCTGTCTCTCAGAGGAAAGAGAAAGACCGGTTGGGTCCCATCTCGCCCGTGTGCTTTTCGCGTCGGTCGTCCGACGATGAACAGACGTTACGAGCATAGCTGCGAAAATCGGTATATAGATGCATGATATTGAGTTCGTTTCGGGAAAATAAGAGGCATAAGCTGAACTCGCTGATTTTTGAACATTTGTTCTTGTGACAATTTTTCACAGCGAAAAAGGCAACCGACGATCCTCTGGGTGCATATGCGGCATGAACAGGGTTCACACCTCAAAATTTGGTATGGTCATATCCGGCAGTGCCTCACGTTTTGCTGTTCTCCAGTCTTTCGACCTACGGGTCATAACATTCTCCTGGTCCCAATAGTTATTGAATTTTCAATCCTGGACTGGAATTGCCGAACTTGTTATCACTCGTGCTTTTCCCGGAGAGGGAGAAATCTCATAACAGAGAATTCCCCTTTCCTATTGAAAATCACCAAGTCAAGAAAAGGGCGTCTCACAGTGAAGGGAACGGCATGCCTAATTCAAAAAAGACCATAGTAGCAGTAGACTACCGAAACGGATTTCGATAGACCACCAGTGAACCACAACTCCTCGATTAAGGGTAAGCGTCTCTCTTGCAAGCGCCATCTAGTGATCGCTGCGAGTAGAGTACTCCAGCCACAGGCAATGCTTTTCTCTGGAAGAACCTGCTGCTCTTTTCGCTTCGGGTGCGTCCTCGGACCAATGAAGTTTCGCTGATAAAAATGAATCGCATCCCCATTATCTAGTTTACAATTCAAGATAGCTCCAAGATCAATATTAAAATTCACCATTTTGGGACATGGACGCATGACGGCCAATTCTACAAGGACAATGGAACTGTCCTCTCCAGAAATCTACCCCTTTATAGGACAAGTAAAGAAGCCTATAGCAGATATCTGTGTGGGAAATGGACTGCAAGATTTCGTAGGCGTGCTTATTTTACTGAACAATTCCGTTTAGGCATAATGCTTGACCAACCGTACCCAAACAGCATGTTTATGTTAATTTTACGTAAAATGAATGCAAAGTTTTTGTCCATTTTATATCATTTTTATGCAAACCATTGTCAAGAAAATGTCAACAT